GCCACGGCTTCATTAGTACTGCCGATGTGCCCATCGCGGCAGGCGATGTGCATCCACGTGCCCTTGCCGTGTCATTAAAACCTGTCTAAGAGGCAAGCAGCCTCACTCCTGGTTTACAAAGAAGGAAGCTGAGGCCCAGCGAGCATAACTAACTTGTCTAAAGGCACATGAATAGTGAGTAGTTGCAGCAAGATTTACACCCTTGTCCCTGTATGACTTGCAGGCTGTGGTTCTCTTACCCACTTTCTACAGTCCATGGATATTTACTGAACACCTACTACGTTCCTGCCCAGGGAACATGACAGCATCAGGCTCCTATTGCTGACAGTCCACTGGACGAGGCAGACGTTAACAACCAGACAATTCCGAATTGGAGCTGAGTGCAGCAGTCGTCAGCTGTGCAATGAGACACAGTAATGATGATTGCTCCTTTAGCCTGGGAGATTAGGAGAGGCCCTTTTGAGCATGTTCTCTTTTACCCGAGATGGAAGATGGCGCTCATCAAGCAGACGGGCTGCAGGAATGGACTAGAAAGATCAGTGCGGCAGGCAGGCAGGAACAGGTCACGGGGCACCAGAGCAGGCCAGGCCTATGTGGGCTGAGAAAAAGAGTTTGAACTTGATTCTAAAGCCAAGGGGAAGCCATGGAGCATTTAAGGGAATGCTGTGATCTGGTCGTACTTCAAAAATATCACACCGTGGTCATGTTCATACCCTATGATGAAATAATTCTACTCCTAGGTAGGGAGCCAACAAAAATGAATACTTATGTGCACCGAAGATAACAATATTGACAACTGCACTCTTTGTAATAGCCCCAAATTATAAACCACTTAAATGACTCTAAGTACTCACTAAATAAAGATATAGTTGGACAATGGAATATTACACAGCAATGAAAATGAACAAATTACCTATAACAATATAGATGGAGCTCACAAACAGAATGATGGGTGAATTTAGGCAGATATAAAATACCACATACTGAATCCGTATACATAAAGTTCAAAACGACCAAAACTAATCTTTGATTAGAAGTCAGGGTGGTAGTTAGTTACCCTGGGAAAGAAATGGTGGTGGCGGTGGCTAGGAGGAGGCATACATGGGTTCTGAAATGCTGGCAATATTCTGTGGTTTTCAAGGGCAATTTTTGTTTCTATTTTTATTTTTTTACTTTATTTTTTTTATCCCATTACCGTTTATCCCCTGTACCCTCTTCTACCTCTACCCACCCTCACCCTGCTTCTGGAGCTGGGCGTCGGTTACCCAGGTGTGTTCACTTTAGGCAAACTGATCAGGCTTAATGCTTACGATCTGTGCGTGACTCTGTCATCTGTTACATTCTGGTCAGTAGGTCAGCACCGCACCGAACTACAAAGCACACAGTGCAGTCTGGGCGAAATGAAGTACAGCTACTGCAGAATCCAGGTGAGTGGCAGTTGGCCCAGGGCGGGTGGTGGCAATGGAAACATGAGGATGGGTGGGAAAGAAGGGTCCATAGAACTGGTGGTGGTGGGAGGAGTGGGGGCCTGTGAGTAGGGGAAGGGGTGGTGGAATCAGAGCTGCCTCTCCAGCTTCCGGCAGGAGCACCTGGGTGGCGGGGGTGTCAGAACTAAGATGGAGAAGGTTGGGAGGCACAGATTTAAAGAGGATGGCAGAATCCAAGGCCTTGTTTCTGGACATGTAAAATTCGAGATGCTTCCAAAGGTAACATTGTGGGAGCAGGTGGCTTCACCTGATAAGAAGATTTCTGGTGCTTAAGAGAGAGGGAAATTAAAAGCCACCATTCTAGCCCTTTTTCCTTTGACAGAGTGCTTACAGTTCCATTACCTCTTTCCATTTAATTTCCCGACAAAGATTGTTATAAGGCAGGCAAGATGGCGGTGATGTGGGGATGCTGTTTCTTTATGTAGAAAGTAGAGATGCATTCGTGTGTATGCTGTTCTGTGGACCTGCTCTATTTCTCTACTGAAAGAGCAGGCCCTTGGATAGGAGCCTGGGCTACCCCACAGGCCCTCAGGAAAGAGCTCCTAGCACTGGCCACGAGGCCTGGCCAGAGGAGTCTGTACCGACCCTGTACCCTCCTCTTGCTCTGTTTCCTGGAGTCTCCATGGTTCAGCCATGCAGCACTCGCTCTCTGTCTACTGAATGCACTATGTGCTTTCCTAGTTCCAGGACTTTGCGTCATCTGTGTCCTCGCCTGGGTACTTGTTCACTCTTTGCTGGGCTTACCACTGCATTCTTCACATCTCAGCTTAATCCATTGTTTTCAGGAAGGTTTCCCCGCTCCCTGCCTGAGCAGGATGTGCTCCTGACCTGTTTACCCAAGGCCACCAGCGCTGCCCGAGGTGACCCTCGCTTCTCTTTATAGTAGGACACATCCAGCATCCATCCTGGCCACCACACTGAGTTCCAGGGCTGTAGGGACTCTGCCTGCCTTCTTGTCCCTGTAACCTGACACTGAACACAGTGCTCAGTACAGGGATCGTTGACTGATTTGTCCCATGACCTCTCAGACTGAGAACTGTGCCCTGTTCCCCGGCAGCAGGTGCCAAACTTGTCTTCACAGCATGTTTTTTCTTTGCCTTCTGGAATAAACCCTCAGGACCTAGCTGATGACCTTGAAGCTGGGAGACCTAGCATCCACTGTGCACTTCAGGACTTGTCCTAGTGTTTACAAAATGCCCTGAAAATGCTCATGACCATGATTGGCCCCATACTTACTATTTTAACACACTACTTGGACACAGTTTATAGGCAGATTGAAGCCAAAACCTACCCTCAACCCCTACAAGGGATTAATTAGTGTCAAACTCACTGGGACCAATAGTCTGAAATAATGTGATCTCATGAAGACATCCAGCAACAGTGTCAGCTGTATGGACGGTGACCCTGGAAGAGGCAATAGTCACAGAGCATCAAAAGCTGTGTCACAAACCCTTATGAACACCTTTTGCTGCATAATTCTACCTCAAGGGATTAATTCTGATAAATGAATGCATGGGAATAAAGATAAATTTATGAGGTACAGCTCATCACAATGAAAAAACAGGAGATTGGTTATCAGTGGAAACCCAGACAGTACCTTGCCACCACTAAAAGTGATGTTGTGTACATATATTACTGACATGCAGTTATGTCCATGACATGTTGTGTGTATGTGTTAGGAGCTGTTCAGTGGCAAGTGAGAGAAATCCATCCAAAAAGGAAAAAGCACAGGGAGGATTTGTTGATCTATGGGATCCAAAGGGGTGTTGGACAACCAAATTTTGGGAAGGAGCCCAGTGTGCCCAGACCTTAAGAATGGCTGGAATCTGGACTAGAATAGCTCCAAAACTCCCTCTCTATCTATGATGCTTGCCTCTCCTCACTTGCCAGATTCGCTTATTCACTGTGGACTGATGGTGGGGCAAAAGGTCTGGGTCACTGGAGGAGAGTCTACCTGAAGCTGTCTCTAGCTTGAAATCCAAAAGTCCCAAGCCAGGAATATATGGGCTACCGTAGGTCAGGTACCCAAATTAGAACCAGTCAACCTTAGCAGGGTATCTAGGCACTGTGATTGGCCCAGTTGGCGTTAAGACCTGCCTCTGGACCAACCAACTAAGACCAATGGAGGGGTCTCCTTGACCTACCATGGGAGCTTCTGAATTTAACAGACGTTATTATTTCCCAGGAAAGAGGGCGGGGCCAATATGCTCAGTTATCTTCTACCTATTATCAAGGGAAATGGGTAACAAAACACTGAGCACAGTGAGGTCCCATTTCTGAGAAAATGTGGGGTAGAGAGGAGGACACGATAGAAGAACGAAGTCTGAAAAGACATTTCAAAATGTTACCATTGATTTTCTTGCATCTGTGCAATTTTCTACAATGAACACCAGTTATTTGTGAGATTAAAAAAATTGAAGAGAGGAAAGCTACATGGCCTCCATGAGTATTTGGAACGTCAACTATTGTTCATGTCTCTTGCCTTCAGCCTGACATGTTAGATTTAAAATACAAATGATTCTGTGAACTGCAGTGCTCCTTGCAAATGTTGCCAGTCCTTCCCCCACCCAGCAAATAAACAGTTACCAGGGGTCCAACAAGTGCCAGGCAGCAAAACGTCTTGGAGATACAGTGATAACTAAGGGTCTGACCCTGCCCTCGCTCAAGGAGCTCACAGTCTGGCAGAAGAAACGGAGGAGTTCATAATCAGTTATGTTATAAAAATCTCAAAAGAGAAGTGTGAGCAGCAGGTTAGGAAGATATAGATAAAAAACAACACATTCTGTTTAGGGGAACCTTAAAGGTGGTCTTGAGCTATTTACTGGGCTTTGAACAGGGCCCTGAGGGTAAAGCATGAAATGAAGGGCTTACCAGGTGAAGGAATCAGCGAATGCAAAGGTTCAGAGTCAGCAGGACTTGAGTTGGCAGGTAGTTGGGTGTGGTGGGTCTGAGGGAGCAGGTGGTGAATTCCATTCCCTAAGCATTTAGTGAGCAGCTGTTGTATGTCAGGCTTTTGGCTAAGGGCTTGCTGATGAGATTGGAAAGGACCTTGAATGCCATTCTATTTCTTTTCCAATATAACAAAATTGAGAGAAAATGTGAACTTATCACTTCTTCCTGAGGAGAAACAAAGGTCTTCTCCATCTCTGTGCTCTCTCGAGTTTCTCTAGCTGCTGCACCAACACATTAGGGGAAGAAGCAAGACTGGGTGTGTGTGTGGAGAAAGCAAGATCCCAACACCATGCTTCCTGGATTGGTGACTCCACCCAAGTGCTAAGGATATTGGGGAAGTTGATATTGGGAGCGCTCTTCCAGGGCTGGTTACAGAAGCTGAGCCATGCTCAGAAGGTCCTACCTTGGCTTTGCAGTGGAGAAACACAGCCACCATTGTGGCACTGCCCTTCCAGCTCTGGGTCTCAGGAGGGGCTCTGGGGAAGGTGGATCATGATCTCTGAAGTGTCTTTCATGTACTAAGCCAAATGACCTTGGCCTGGATGGCTGAGGGTTATGCAAGGTTAGGTAGCCGCTTAGTCAAAAATAGCTCTCATGCTGACTCCAGCCCACAGAACAGCATCCAGGCAAAGTGGGCACAGATGCACCAGAGCTGGGCACTCGTGGGGAAATCCCCTTCTTGGTCCTCACCACTGGAAAATCATTCAAGAATGTACATGGGACTCCAGGGCTGCTGACAGGTGATGCCCCGTGCTGTCTGGCAGCAGAAATGTGGCTATCTCGCTGACGCACAGAAACCAAGGAACCACAGGGAAATCCAGCGCAAACATTAAAAGTGAGTAAGAGGGAGCAGCCGGCAGAAAGAGCACTGAGCCAGGAGTTCAGATCTGCTACTCTCATCGGCACACTAGAGCCAGACATGTTAATGTAATCACTCAGCGAGAACTGAGCAGCCACCGTATGCCAGAGACTGTGCTAGCGCAGGAGACACAAAGGGCAACGACAGTTGCTGTCCCTCGTCTCATGGAATTTCAGCTTGTAGTGAGCTGCCTTGTATCCCAGGCTAAGGGTAAATAACATTTGCTGAGATCTTCCCTTGCTAGGCACTCTACAAGACATTGGTGAACAAACCAGACACTGTCCCTGGCCACGTGTAGCTTGCAGTCTAGAGGAAGAAACAGACAAATAACAGATGGAAAAAAAACCAAAAAATACTCTTTAGAATAAAAATTCCGTTAAAGATTTGCTAAGGGCCCTTCCAGATCTAAGAGTAGGATCTCTCTGTGGAAGAAGGACTGCTACTATCTTGTTCAAGGTTTCTGCCCAGTGAGGGGACATGTCAGTGACCCTCCGCTGTCTCTCTGGTAATGACATCAGAGAAAAGTCACTGGTCTCTGTGTGTAGAATAAGCAACTCTTCTCGCTGTTGAGATGGGTGTGGGTCTGGCACTTTTGGAAGACGATTTGGTGACATTCACCAAAGTTTTGAAAGTATGCCTCTCATTCGACCTACTGTGTCTGCTTCTGGGTTTATCCAAAGGAAATAATTGGATAAGTGCACAAAAATGCACATTCTCATGAAGTTCATTACATATGATAGTTAAACATTTGAAATAACCAAAGTAGCCAATAGTAAGGGTCTGTTCCCCGTAAAGGGCTGTGAAATGGTTAGGTAGCCCTCTTTACCACTGGATTGGAAAGCTGTCCCTGTGTTGAGTTAGAGCATTTGGTTTAGCAAGTTGTATGCAGGGGCACTAAGACCCCTGTGCACTGCTAGTGACGGTGTAAAATGGTGTAGCTACTGGGGAAAACACTTATGGCAGTTCCTTGGAAAATTCAAAATAGAATTACCACATACACTGAAATACACTGAAAAGAATTGTGAACACGTTCTTGAAAAGATATTTGTATACTTGTGTTTACAATATTTTATTGTAAATAAAAAACAATAACTTTACAATATTGCAAATTGCATTATTCAAAATAGAGACAATGTGGAAACAACCCAAGTGTTCATTGACAGATGAATGGATTAACAAAATGTGGTATATACAAACAATGGAATATTATTCAGCCTTAAAACAGAAGAACATTTTGGCATATGCTACAACATAGATGAACCTTGAGGACATAATGCTAACTGAAATAAGTCAGTTATAAAAAGACAAATATAGTGATTCCATTCACATGAGTCATGGAGAGTAGTCAAAATCATAAAGACAGGAAGTAGAATGGTAGCTGCTAAGGCTGGGGGAAAGGCAGAATGAGGAGTTAGTTATTGCTTAACGGATATTGAGTTTTAATTTTGTAAGATAAAAAAGAATTCTGAAGTTAGATAGTAGTGATGATAGCACAACAATATGAATGCTCTTACCACTGCTAAACTGTACTTAAAACTGGTTAAGATGGTAAATTTTATGTTATGTGTATTGTGCCATAATTAAAATTGAGGGATAAAAATGTGTGCAAAAATACCAAAAAAGAATAAAATACTTAAAAATAAATTTAACTACAAGATGCAAGACTTTAGTACTGAAACTACAACATGTTGCTGAAAAGATTTAAAGAATGCCTAACAGACATCTTCATTCATAGCCGAAGACATAAAATTGTTAGGATGAAAATTTTCCCCAAAGCAATCTGTAGATTCAAAGCAGTTTCTTTAAAAAATCCCCAAAATCCCCAAAATTCATCTTTCAGAAGTAGAAAAGCTAATTCTAAAATTCATATGGAATTGCAAGGAACCCCAAATAGCTAAAAACAATCTTGAAAAAGAAAAAAAAAGGGGAAGACTCACACTTCCTGATTTCAAAACTTACTACAAAGCTACAATAGTCCAAAGAGTGCAGTGATGGCCTAAGGACACTCTCACATAAAGGTCAATGGGATAGAACTGAGAAAACAGATAAACCTATACAGCTCTGGTAAATTGTTTTTTTGACAAGGGTGCTAAGACCATTCAGTAGAGGGAAAATAGTCTTATCTGCAAATGATTCTGGGACAGATGGATTTCATTATGCAAAAAGTGAAGTCGGACCATTACCTCATACATATAGAAAAATTAACTCAAAATGTATAAAAGACCTAAATATAGGACCTAGAACTATAAAAACTCTTAGATGAAAACATGGGAGGTAAGTCTTCATGATCTTGAACACAAGCAACAGAAAAAAATAGATAAATTAGGCTTCATCAGAACTAAAGTTTATTCCCCTGGCTGGTGTGGCTTGGTGGACTGAGTCTGATCTGTGAACTACAAGGTCACCAATTTAATTTCCTGTCTGGGCTCCTGCTTGGGGTGCAGGTCAGGTCCCTGGTTGGGGATTGGGGGTATGTGATCGATGATTCTCTCCCTCTCTTTCTCCCTCCCTCCCCCTTTCCCTAAAAGTAAATAAATAAAATTGATAAAAATTAATAAGTAAAAAAAATTTTAATTAAAATTTTTCAAAAGTTGAGATATCATTGACATAAAACATTAATTGAAATATAACATTATATTAGTTTCAAGTATATAATATAATGATTCTATATTTACATAATATTATGAAACAATCACCACAATAAATCTAGTTAATATTCATCAACACACATAGTTACAAATACTTTTTTCTTGTGATGCCAACTTTTCAGGTCCATCCTCTTAGCAATTTTTAAATATTCAATACAGTATTGTTAACTATACTTACTATGGTGTACATTACATCCCTGTGACTTATTTATTTTACTGCTGGAAGTTTGTACCTTTGGGCTCCCTTCACCGATAAAGTTAAAAACTTTATGTATTAAAGGCGTCTACCAAGAAGGTGAAAAGAAACCCACAGAATAGAAGAAAATATTTGCAAGTTATATATCTGATAAGATTTTTTATCCAGAATATGTAAAGAAGCTGTACAACCAAACAACAAAAAGATAAATAACCCTATTTTTTAAATGGGCAAAGGTTTTGAATAGTTATTTCTTCAAAGAATATATACAAATACCAAACAAGCACAGGAAATAGATGCTTAATATTATTTGTCATTAGTCATTAGGGAAATGTAAATCAAAACACAATAAGATATCACTTCATATGCACTTTAATGAAAGTGCATATTTTTAAAAAGCAAAAACAAAAGAGGACAATAACAAGTGTTTGCAAGGAGGTAGAGAACTTAGAACTTTAATGCATCACCAGTGGAAATGTAAACCAGCGCAACTGCAGCAGGCAGTGGTCTGGTGCTTCCTCAACAGGTTAATATAGAATGACCATTTGATCCAGCAAGTCTACTTCTACATATATACCCAAAGGAACTGAAAATAAGTGTTCAGTCAAAAACTTATATGAACATGTTTATAGCAACACTATTCATGATAGCCCAAAGGTCCAGACCACCCAAATGCCCCTCAGCTGATGAATGGCTAAATTATGACTGATCCATACAATGAAATATTATTTAGCAATAAAAAAGAATAAAGTACTAATGTGTGTTATAAATAGATGAACCTTGAAAATACGCTGAGAGAAGCCAGGCATAAAAGGCCACATTTTATATGATTTCACTTATGTGAAATAGTCAGAATAGGCAACTCCATGGAGATGGAAAGTGAACCACTGGTTACCAGGTGTGGGGAAGAGGATAGAAAGTGACTCTTTTATGGGTACAGTCTTCCTTTTGGGGTGATGAAGTTTTGGGGGACTAGATAGTGGTCATGGTTGTAACAACACTGTGAATATACCAAATGCCACTGGATTGTACACTTTAAAATGGTTCAAATAAAGAAAATACTGTGTGCATTTCAGAAAAATAACTGGAAGCACAGATGCTAAATGTGAACACAGATTATTTCTAGGTGACAGTAGGAGTGACTTTTCACTCCATGTTTTTTCTTTTTGTACATCTGATCATTTTACAGTAAGTATGTTTTCCATTAATAATAAGAATGATTAAAAGCCAAAATGAGCTGTTTTCATTTTGGAAAGCAAGTAGCAAAAAAGAAAGGAAGAAAGGAAGGAAGGAAGGAAGGAAGGAAGGAAGGAAGGAAGGAAGGAAGGAAGGAAGGAAGGAAGGAAAAGGGGGGTCCCTTGAATCACCCCTCCCCCTTGTCTCTTCCATTTACCTGGGGCTGCAGGCCTTGCTCCAGTGTCTGAGAGTTGTGTTTCTGACTAGACACCAGTAAGGACCCTTTAAGTCAATAGGGGTGAAGGCATCAGCCAGCAGAACTCTTTACAGGTCTTTTGGAAGGATTCCCAAGACATACTGTATGGAAAGCAAAGTTCAGAACAAAGTGCCACAGTGAGTGTCAACACGCACATGATTACTAAAGATGGATGTACATATGTTTGCAAATGCAAAGATCCTCTCTGCCAGAGTGAATTAAAGAACCTCAAGAACATGTCCCCCAGGGAGGGGAAGTGGGCGGCTGGGGAACAGGAGAAGGAGGGAGGAGGCTGATTATCACTGACTCTTCCCTGTGCACCCACCTCTGTACTTTATTCATTTGGTTCCCCGAGTACCTGCTTTATGTCATAAAAAACAAAGTTTCAAAGCATAAGACAAAACCTTTTAAGGTAAAAATAAAACATTTTGGTTATTTCTACTCTATTTTGTATTTACCAAATTAACAACAGACATCACTTAACATAAATAAGACAGGGACTTCCGCCAAGATGGAGGCATAGGTGGAGACGTCGTGCTTTCTCACACAACCAAGTTTAGAGACAACTAAATATTAGCAATAGAAAACATAGCCAGAACACAGAAAATTGAACTTTTTGGAAGTCTGTTAACAACAAATTCTTCAGCCTGACCGGTAAGGGGCAAAACCAGCAGCTGGTAGAGCAGGGTTGCACAGGAAAACTCGGTCAGACGGACTCAAGCGCGCGGAATCCAGGCGCAGGAGCGAGCAACAGCGGGGGAAACAGCAAGGGAGCAGGGCTGCGGGTTGACTGTGGTCGCGCATTGGTGCGCTGATAGACAAGTGAGGGAGTGGGCGATTGGACCGGGACCCAGCCGGTCTCGCGGCAAGCTGCCGGGAGGGCACCGCCATTTCCCTGCTCTGACCCCGCCTCCACATACAGCGTCATAATCCAGCGACTCTGAGTGGCCTGGCCCAGGTGAACCACCTAAGCCTCTGCTCCTCACCCAGCTGCACGAGAAAGCAGAGGGGGTCGCCATTTCCCCTCTCTGACCACGCCCCCACATACAGCGTCACAACCAGCGACCTGGGAGTCCAAGGCTCTGCTCCTCACACTTAAAGGGCTCAAAGAGACCAAAAATGGCTCAAGAAGATCTCAAAGCCCCAGAGCCTATAAATCTAAGTGATGAAGAAATAGCAAAACTCTCAGACGCACAGTTTAAAACACTGGTGATCAGGATCCTCACAGAACTGGTTGATTATAGCCACAAATTAGACAAACATATGAAGGCGAAACTAATTGAAATGAATGGAATTGCACAAGAAACCAATAGCAATGAAAAGGAAACTGGGACTCAAATCAATGGAGTGGACCAGAAGAAAGCAAATAATGGCCAAAACAGAAAAGAGTCAAGAAGCAAGAATTCAAAGAAATGAGGAGAGTCTTAGGAACTTCCAGGACATCTTTAAACGCTCCAACATCCGAATTATAGGGGTACCAGAAGGGGGAAAGGCACAGCCACCAGTGGAAAACTTATTTGAACAAATAATAAAGGAGAATTTCCCCAATCTGGCAAAGGAAATAGACTTCCAGGAAATCCAGGAAGCTCAGAGAGTCCCAAAGAAGTTGGACCCAAGAAGGAACACACCAAGGCACATCATCATTACATTAGCCAAGATGAAAATGAAGGAGAGAATCCTAGAAGCAGCAAGAGCTAAGGGGACAGTCACCTACAAAGGAGTTCCCATCAGACTGTCAGCAGATTTCTCAAAAGAGACCTTACAGGCAAGAAGGGGCTGGAAAGAAGTATTCCAAGTCATGAAATCCAAAGACCTACAACCAAGATTGCTCTATCCAGCAAAACTTTCATTTAGCATGGAAGGACAGATAAAGTGCTTCTCAGATAAGATCAAATTCAAGGAGTTCATCATTATCAAGCCCTTATTATATGAAATGTTAAAGGGACTTATCTAAGAAAAAGAAGTTAAAGAAACATGAACAGTGAAAGACAACAAACTCACAGTTATTAACAACCACACCTAAAACAAAAGCAAACTAAAAGGACAGGTAGATCAGGAGTGGAAACATAGAAATGAAGATCTCAAGGAGGGTTAGCAACAGGGGAGTGGGAGGAGGAGAAGAGGGGAGAAGGTACAGAAAATAAGTAGCATAGACAGTAGATAGAAAATAGATGGGGGGGCAAGAATAATAGGGGAAATATAGAATCTAAAGAACTTGAGACACATGGTCATAAACTAAAGGGGGTGTAATGGTGGGGACAGGGGGATAGGGTGGAGGGGAATGAAGGGGGAAAATAGAACAACTGTAACAGCATAATCAATAAAAATTTTTTTAAAATAAATAAATAAATAAGACAGGCATTCCTTTTAACTTTCAAGCAACACAACTTTTTAAAGTAAACACAGAACACCCCTCCTAGATTACTCTCAAAGTAAAAATATATTTAGTAATGAAATATACTTTAAAATAAAATTAAAGGAAATGATATCAGAGACCGTATCAGAGAAATGGTCTTTATTTAACTACTTTTTTTTGTTTGTTTTTTTCTACTTTTTTTTCTGATGACATCTATTATTTTATGTTGGAAAAGGTCTGTAAGTAACTGAGTTGTTGAACATAAGGCCACCAGTTTCAGGCAGCTGGTGAAACAGTACTGACCTGACCTTGACCTCCAAGCAGCAGCCCTGGACCCTTCACTCTGGCCCTGCTCTCCACAGCCTCCTTGGCCCAGACTCCCACTGCCCTTGGCTGGTTCACCCAGTCGCCGCCCTCAGGATGTGCTGGAGGAGCTGGGACCCCCAGGATGCAGTGCTTCTGGATTCATCTCTGGGAGGGGCATGGGCTGTCTTCAAGGTGTGTGTGTGTCTGACAAGAACAACGTTATGCTCGTAGTATGTCACAAACAAATACAAACAAAGTTTTCGAGATAATTTTTTATTCATGCTATATGTTAGGGTGAGCAAACATTGGCTGACCATTTTAACCCTGTGGAGGCTGTGGTCAAAAAAATTACAGCATAGGTCACGTGTCTCCAAGACACATTCATTACTCTTATGTGCTGAAATGCAAAAAGAAATAAATAAAATGAAAAACACTGCAAATGTGCAGCTAGTCATGACCTTGAACCAATGAACCTGATATATGTAATGATATTTAAAGGGAGCATACGGATGTTGGGGGAGACAGATGAAGAAGTGAGCCAGCTCGGAGGCCATCTGCCCTGGCCATACACAGCCCTTGTGTGGCCACCACAGGGGCAACCTTAATGTCTGATCACCACTGCCACCCTGCAGAGGAAAGAGGGAAACAAAGACCACTCCAGCCCCCCCCCGTCCTCAGATACGTCACTGGAAAGCCTCCCTGTGTTGCCCCCATGATCTGAGACCAGGCATTGATCGGACGTGTTCTCCCGGGGCTTGTCTTCTGAGACTCTCCCCATCTTGCCTTCTCTGTCCTGCTGGTCCCCGCACATTTCTGAGGTGACTGAAGGTCAGACTGAAGGGAGCCCAACTGAGGTCTTCTGCCGGCTGCTCTGGCAAGGTCCATACTGCCCCCAGGGTAACCCGCTGATTGCCTAAAACCCCTTCATTTCAGAACCATGCTTTTGCATTGTCAATTCTAAATTCCAATGTAAAAACAAACAAAAAGATTTCCCCTTGAATTATAAAAATGTATAATGTGCAAAGCAGAAAAAAGTAGAACATCTCCCGCCCCCAAAGTCACATACCCAGTATCTTAAGAGAACCATCGTAGTATTATGAAATATTTCCTTGAGGCCTTTAAAAATAAACCGCTGAATCATTTTTATTACTGTTGTTGTTATGTTTATTACTATTGTTGTTTTACAGAATTGTGATCCTTCCATACATCAAATGTGATCCCTTTTAACAGAAGCATTTGTTTCTGTTGCTGCAAATCCTGGCTCTGTGATGCTATGTACTCTTGGGCATGTTACTTAACCTCCCTGCAGCCTCGTTTGCTTACCTGCAAAAATGGAGATAATCCCAGTATTTACCTTACAGGACTCCTGCAAGGATTCAGTGAGATGATGCCAATGGCCCAGTGCCATAAATGTTAGCAACTCGTCTATTGCTAGCATCAACATGGTTGATTTTGTTCTTCAGCAAGTGTGAGTAATGCTGCAATGTGAATGCTGCAATGTGAGATTTTGTTCTTCAGCGAGTGTAACGCTGCAACCCTCTGTGTCCAGAGCCTTTGTCTCTATTGAAGTTTAATTCCTTAGGAGAGATTTCTGGAAATAGAATTACTAGACCAAAGGGTCTAGACCTTTTTTAAGTTCTCGATACAGATTGCTATTGACACTCCTGCCAGAGGGGCAGAATCCTGGATTGATTTGCTATCTGTTGATTTTCAGCTTTATTGAGATGTAATTGACATATAATATTGGGTAAGTTTAAGATGTATGATGGAGAAGTTGAATACATTGTGTATATTGTGAAATGTTGACCACGTTAAGATTAGTTAACGCCTCCTTTGCCTCACGTAATGACCATTTCGCTGTCACTTGGGAGAATCCCAGTTTTAGGTATAAATGTGTACTATGCAGAAAGGATGTTGAGCCCTCTCCACGCCCCTACGTGCAAGTTTAGTGAGTGTGAGTTGAGAAGCAGACTCTCTGAGCAAGTCCTCCTGGGAGTCTGATAAGACGCCTGGCATAATCCAGGGACCTATCAGAATCACCCTGAGACCTCAGTTGCACTCTCTGTAAAACCCGGGCAAGGATCTTGCCCAAGGTGTGGTGAGGGGTAATGAATGGCTAATGGCTGGAATTGACTTTTGTCCTCCTGGTGATAAACGACCTTTGAAATGCTTGGCCACTTTAGAGTTTCTCAAGAAAAGTGATAACACTAGTCCAGAGTTCGTGCCAGCTGGCCAGCATCCCCCTCTCCAGCACCCACGAGGCTGAGGGCAGAGCAGGGATGGCCCCAGCCCCATGTGTGCTGAGTGGGTTCATTGGGGCTGGGGCCATAGGGGTAGGAGACATTTTCCCTCGGATCCTTTCACACATCACACCACGGGAAATATCCCCAAACTTTATCTACCATCCCCTCATCCCCTCACCGATCCAGCTGAAGGAGGAGGTTTCGACACACAGTAGACACAGGATTTAGCATGGGGTGAGGCTCAGCCTTGATATGAGGAACGGATCAAACTGTAATTGTCTCTCCCTCCAGCACCCAGCCCCCAGAGGATTTTTATCACCTAGAAAGTGTGTAAAGGAAACACAGTGACCTACACACCCAAACGATATCTGCTCAGATCACTCTGTGCTCCAAAAGCTTCAAAAGCTTCCCACGCTTCAGACTAAAGCCCCATCTCTCAAGTGCGGCATGCTAGACTTCAGTTATCCTGCCCAGACCCTTCACCCTTCTCTCCCTTCACTTACCACCCACTCTGAACTAAGCAAACTTATTCTTGCTATTCTGTTAACTTGGTAAAATCCTTCCCAACACTTAAGGCCCAGCTCTGATGCTCCATCCCCAGCAGTGTCTCTGCGCCCAGCCCTGGGTGGAAATGACTCTCTTTCCTTTGCAGTCCCGTAGACCCTTCTTGTCTGTGTCCTCACATGGCTCTGGTCACTTTCCATTTCATCTTCTAGGCTTTGTTGATCTCATCTCCTCCAATGATCTCAGAACTCCTGAAGGATACTTCCCAAATCTGGCTTATCTCCGTGCCCCAGAGTCCAGAGCAGGACTTCAGGTTGCTGACAGCAATGAGTAAGTACGGCTGAAATGAATTAATCCCTGCCTGCCATGCTGAAGAGATACTGGTAGGAAAAGTAAATTAAAATAGAGATAGTTTTACTTCTTTCTTTCCAGTCAGGTGCCTTTAGTTTTATTTTCTTGCCTAATTGCCCTGGCAAGACTTCAGGTACAATGTTGAGGAGAAATGGTGAGAGAAAGCAGACTTGCACTGTCCATCCATTCATTATTAAGTGTGATTTAACTGTGGGTTTTTGATGGATGCCCATTATAGACTTAAGGATTTTCCTTTCCATTCCTAATTTGCCAAATGTGTTTATCATGAAAGGGTTTTGAATTTTGTCAAATGCTTGTTGATGATCATGTGGTTTTTGTCCATTAGTCTATTGATAAAGGGTATGCGCGTTACTTGATCTTCAGATGTTAGTCCAACTTTGCCTTCCTGGGGCTAAATCCCCCTTGATCATGGTGACTAATTCTTCTTTATGCATCGCTGGATTATGTTTGTTAGTATTTTGTTGAAATTTTTTGCACAAGACAAGGCTCAAATTACCTGAAATAGCTGAGCTCAAAGCAAATATAGCAGGAAAAAAAATCTTGTGACAAAGAGTTGGAGTTAGAACCTGGATTTCTAATCCTCATTTCCCTTCCAGGAAGCTAGTGTGAGCAACAGTGCTCCCACACTTTTAGAGCCTGTAGGCTGTAAGCCAGGCACAGTGCCCAATGCCGGGGATAAAAAGGACTTAGTCACCACTCTCAGGGGTAGAAAATGACAATACAACCTGAAAGAACAACAGTACGGTGGCCCATAAGGCTGAGGAGGGGGCACATCTTGGTTGGAGGCAGTTGGAGAGGGTTTCCTGGGAAAGCAGATTCCGGTTGGGCCTTGAAGGAAGAGCATTGGATATGAGGATCCAGTGAGATAGTAGCTATGTGAGGTCATTTGTAAAATGTACCAGTGTCACTGAGACTGATCTTTATTACTAAGTTATTATGATACTAAAAAACCCCACTTAGATTGCTGACTACTGGCCTGCCAGCAGCACTGGCAAATTCCTACACAAGTTTTAAGACAAGTTTGCTGGATTGGAGTCAGACACAGAGCAGTGAGGCAGGGTTGTGGAGTAATTCAGAGCTCGGGCTTTGCGATCAGACTCCACTCGTTCCAAGTCCTGACTGTTAATTGCTCTCCAGGTGCCCATCTGTGGAATGGGGGTGATAACATAAGAAAGTTAAATGATGTGCATGCATTGGGGTTGGTGGCTTATGGTGTCATGTGAATGACAGCTACTGCAGTTCAGGGGGAAAGAACTCAGAGCTCACAGCTGAACTCTGGCTGTTGTGAATTCATGTTTGCCTCTTGAAAAGGTGTCTTTCTTTTTTCTTTCTTTCTTTTTTTGATTTGCCACCCAGTAACCAAACATGTAACATTGGGGAAATGCTTTTCCTTGGCTCTTACCTTCCTTTTCAGTAAAATCTCTTTAGATTATGATGACAAAGGAAAGATCTATCAAGGGAAAGATCTTTGAAAATAGTGAAGTACAAACCTAAGTCACAGAGATGTTCGCCTCAGCATTGTTTACCACGAGGAAGTGAAGAACGAGAGATGACATAGATGTCCAAACAGAGATGACTGTTGAAACATGTTAGGAGACTTCCTTCAATAGGGTTGTACACAATGACGAATAGAGGTCCCGTGAAACCAAATTATTTTTCTCTTATTGAATGGTGAAACTCTCAGCACCCAAAATAATACCTGTCACATAGGAGACGTTTGGCTTTATTGAAAGAATGAGTGAATTAATGAATGCCATAAGTTAATCTCCAAGGGACGTCCTGGAGGAATACCGTTGACTGCCATCTTGCCGCATAACACAGACCAGTGGACCAGAAGGCCTAGTGGTGGTTTTGAGTGGCTGCAATGGGGGGGGGGGGCAGGAAAGTTGGGTTGAGGAGAGAACAGAGCTATCAATTGGGATGTTTGAAGGTACTTACTGGATGATGAGCAACATAAATCTCTCTTCCATGGCTCACAAAGTCTTCAGTAAAATACACAGTGCCTGGCATTTCTTTGGGGATTGGATGTTTTTTGAAGGGTGAAATGAAATACAGAGACTGACTTCAATCAGAGAATACCCATGGGTATCCGGTCACATCTGAGTATCATAGTGTAGAAGAAAATTTAATGACGTGGAAAGATGTCCACAATATATTGTTAAGGAAAATAATTGGGTGCAGGAGGGAATGTGCAATTGCAACCCAACTTTGGTTAAAATAGAAAAACATCTGTTTGTGTTGAAATGATGAGATTAAGGAATATTTTTGCCTTTATGATTATTTATGCTTTGCATTTTCTTTAATGAACATGTACTGCCTTTGAAATTGAAAATAATGTGAAATATTCAATGAGCTCAAGCTGTCCTTACTGTTTTTGGCTGGTTGGTAAAGAAATTGAGCTACAGCTGAAGTGACATTGTCAAGGTCAAGCCAAGGCTGAGTGGCTCATTGATTCATGGCCAGTTCAGTGATCTTTCCATTTGACTAGAAGGAAACCCCTCCTCATGGGTTTTTTGAGTGCTCAGACACACAGTGTCTGAAATATCTGAAAAAACGGGACCATTTCCTCTCCCATTCACTCTCTTTTGCTGGATTCCAGGAAACAGCCTTGTCCAGGAGAGTACCAACAGTTTTAAGTGCATTCCTTCTCTCATTTCAAAGGATGCTTGCCAGGTTTGCTTTCGCACCTCAGGTTAGTAACATGACCCTCAAGCTCCTCTGGGCAGGGAATCATGTCAGCAGGACAGGCTGTGAGGCCTCCTGCAGACTGAGCCAGTTATAATCTGTGACTCATATCTGCAGATAAAAATTCTTCTGCAAAGGTGTCTGTTGAGTAAGACGGACACACAGAGAGATAGGGACAGAGACAGAGGAACAGACAGGAAACATACCTAGAGCATGAATTCAGGGCCCTGGGACTGAAAGTAAACTCACCTGTGCCATCACTGGGTGATTGGGGAAATAGAGGCTCAGGTGGCACAGTCCAATAGCACAGCCAGGGCAGGAACCCAGGTGGCTTTTGCTTCCTGAACATCTCTCCATATCATGCTTTCTTGTCCTTCCTCTCATAGCAGTCCCAGGGATACCGCATCACCTCCTAGCTGATCTTCCTTTGGGCCCAGCGCTAGGTCACAAAGGGCCCTGCAAACCACATTGAGGAACTGGGACTGCAATCTGGAGCAATGAGACACTGTGAAAAAATTTTTAGGCCAGAGAGTAAGGGGCCAGACAGAGATTTCAGGTGGCCACAGAAAGCCTCCGCGATGTATGGAATGGACCCAAGGAAGTAGAGTGGACTCAGGGAAACCACTGAGGAAGCTGCTGTAATTAATTGTCCGGGTGGGAAGCAATGGCAGCCTGGGCCAGCGCTATGGCAATGGAGACGGAGAGAAGTGGGTGGTTTCCCTGACTCCTTCAGGCCCTCCTCCATCACCTCCTTTGGCACTTGTAGTCAGTGTCACCCAATTTAATACCTAGCAATGGGCTCACATTTGTTAGGATCCTTTGAGGTATGATCGCACAGAAGCCCAGTGCAAAGTAGCTCCAGCTGAGCACTGCTGTGCAGTGCCTGCCGCATGGGGGGGAGTTCGATAAATGGTGAACGAAGGAAGGAATGATTGGCTCCACACTCCAAGATCTTTGTTTTTGCTACAACACATTAGGCAATACTGACCTTAAGCCTAAATTTCATAACCCTAATTTCTCTAAAGGCCAGCTCGCCTGGGCTTGCACCCAGCTCAGGAAGCCCCTCTGCAGCACGCCTGACAGATCAATATCATTCAGCCTGTCTTTGGAATTCTTCCAGGACAGGAGACTCACTACTTCATAAAGCAACTATATTTAAAATTAACAATAGATATGTGTTTTAAAAATAATCTTTATTGAGGTATAATTTACATATGATCAAATGCACCAATTTAAGTAGAGAATTCAGTGAGTTTGACAAATGTATGTAAGCACCTCCACAATATAGTTTAGAATAATTCCATTACTTCAAAATGTTTTCTTTTTCTCAGTCAATCTGCTCTTCCCACCTCTGGTGGCCTCTACCTCCTGTCACTGTCATCTCGCCTTTTCTAGAATTCCATTTGAACAGAATTATACACTACTCAGTCTTTTGAGTCTGGCATGTGTCAGCACAATGCACTGTTACCGCAAGTGTGAGGAGTTTGTTCCCTCTTGTTTGCTGAATAGCAGTCCCCTGAATGGCTATGACAACGATCCGTGTGCTTGTTCGGTTGCTCCTGATATAGTCAGGAGCTGTGCTTGGGTACTTGGGTGACAAGACACAGTTCCTGCTCACCTGCCTCCCTGGTTTTACAAGTAGACAGGAAAGATAGTTTCAGAGACTAAATTTATTTTATTTTATTATTTTATTGTTTTATTGTTGTTCAAGTACATCAGAGACTAATTTCAGAGAGTCAGTGAGAGACTCTCTGAGCAGGTGAGTTTGGGCTAAGGCGTGAAGAGCGATTGCAGAGCACAAGTGGGTCTGAGGGAACAGCATTCTGGGGGGAGGGGACAGGAAGGGCAAAGGCCCTGAGACCGGAGAAGACTTATTACAAGGAACACAATACAATTCCTGAGTAGAGTTATGTTCAAAAACAGTGAAGGGTCCTCACAGTAATTATTTTATTAGAGAGTTTTAAAACACTGTCACATCCTTTATCTTAAATAAACCTCAATATAACTCAAACAGGTTTGGAGAGGTAGAGCAGAGAAGTATTATTGATTTTGCTCTATGAAACAAAAACAAAATCTTATGAATTGCTTCTGCATATTTTTCTAAAATAGTCCCATTCTGCTTCTATGTGTAAGTTTAATTTGACGTATCTCATTATCTTTCATTCCTTTTGATGATGAAAATTTTGAGGGAACTTGGGTCATCTGCATGTGTCTGTCTCTACTATGATACTTAATCCTGTGGTTTGGGCCTCATGTGTACTGCTTTTACGTCTATATTCATAAGAGAAATGGTTTGTAGCTTTGTTTTCTCATGATGTCTTTGTCTGGTTTTGGTGTAAGAGTAATGCTGCCCTTATGCAATGAGTTGAGACATGTTCCTTTCCCTTCCAGTTTTTGGAAGAGCTTGTGAAGAACTGGTATTGAGTCCTGACCGGTGTGGCTCAGTGGGTTGGGTGTTGTCCTGTGAAGCGAAAGGTCACCAGTTTGATTCCCCGTCAGGACACATGCCAGGGTTGCAGGTTTTGTTAAGTTTCTTCCTCACGCTGACGTTTCTCTCCCTCTCTTTCTCACTCTCTTTCCCTCTCTCTAAGAATAAATTTTAAATGTCTTTAAAAGATTTTAAAAATCGCTATTGCTTCTTTTTAAAATGTTTGGTTGAATTCATCTGGGTCTGGGCTATTCTTTGTGGGTAGTTTTTTTAATTACTAATTCAATGTTTTACTTGTTTCAGGTTTATTTAGAAGTTCTATTTCTTACTGAATTAATAGTTTATGTCTTTCCAGGAATTTGACCACTTCATCTGATTTAGCTCATCTATTGGCATGTATTGTTTATAGTCTTCCCTTATAATTCTTTTTATTTCTGTTAAGATTGATAGTAATCTCTCCCTTTTCATTTATTATTTTAGTAATTTGAATCTCCTCTCTTTTTTTCTTAGCTAAAGGTGTGTCTACTTTGTTGATCTTTTCAAAGAACCAACTCCTGGGATTTTCTCTAATGTTCTTTTTATTTCATTAATTTTGGCTTTAATTTTTAATATTCCCTTCTGCACGCTTTGGGCTTAGTTTGTCCTTCCCTTTCCAGGTTAGATCACTGGTCTGAGAGCTTCTTTCTCAGTGCAGACATTTCAGCCCCATCAGTTGCCTCTACCACGCGTGCTGCTGTTCGGGTGCTGTTGCGGGGACTGCGCCCATCGCAGCCTCCCCACCCAACCCTGAAGGGGCTGCAGTCAAATCACCAGGTCTTCACACTGCCAGGTAGGTGCCCTTAGCTAAGAACCCACCCCTCTCGGGTCTTAGTGGTTTCTTACCTATAAAATGAAGGGACTGGACCACAGCATCTGCGGGGGACGTCTGGCCTAACTGGTCTGGTGGGCAGGCTCGCATCCGACAGTCCTCGGATTCCCTGTGGAGTGGACATCTGTCATTTCTGCCTACTCAACACCTCTCCCTCTGGTAAAGACACCTGATTTCCCTTGCGGGAGGGACCTGTCCCCCATATTATAGCTACTCTTCTTTTGTGCGTGTGTCACAGACCCTTGGCCAGTCCGTAGAAGCCCGTGGACCCTCTACTTAGATAGATGCTTTTTAAATGCATAGTGTCAACAACATATGATTGAAGTCAGTTATATTGAAATACTTATCAATTGATCAGAAAAATTCATGCTATAGTAATATATTTCTTTATTAACATTAAATAACAAGATCTCGTTGGTCTAATAACTACCATAATTTCAAAACGGCGATGAACACACACAGTATTTTGAGGTATCTAGGACAACTGTGATGTGGTATGAAATAGCCATGATTTCTATTGGTGATAAAGCTTTGGGCACTTTTAATAATTTACCGTGACTTATTTGCTACATTTATAATAGAAGGAAATGCTAGATTTTAATTAGAAGTTAGTGAAAAGAGATATATGCATTTTCCCATTCAAATGAATAGTTCCTTGTTAAGAAACCTGGGTTTTGGGGTTTTGTGTGAAACTGCTTGATTCCTGGGTTCAGAAGTAGCCATGTAACCCAGTGCTGGCCAATCAAAACAGGGACTGGCTTACTGGCGGGCGTTTGAGCCAAGCGGATACAATCAGAATGAATCCTGGCCTTTTGCTGGACAACTGGGTCAGTGCTTCCTGCAGGACTTGCTAAGGAGACGGGGTTGCCCTGGAGCAACCTTCCTCGCGGTCATCCACCCTCGGAATGAAGCGGACGCAGAGGAAAGCAGAGCTAGGAGATGGGCATTCACATCTTCTTGGCCACATTTCTCCTTTTAAGGTGTTAATTATGGAAACCATTGCATTATCTGTTACAGCCAGCTTAGGTAGGGTGTTCTGTTCATTGCAATGAAAGCAGTTACAACTAACATGGTCCTGCAAAGCTTAGCAGAATGCCTGGCCCAAAGTAATTTGTGGAGGCAAGAATGATGAATGAATTTCAAACAATGTGGCCACATGATTAATATTATTTACCAAACTCTTATATGCAGATCTGGCTTGATTCTGTATCAGAAGACGAAGGATGTACTCAGAGTAAGCATGAGGAGGGCTTTTGTTGGTCGGATGGACAAAGGAACCTGTCCCTTGTCATTCTTTTCTAGCCCCAGCACTGCCTATTCTGCAGTGACATCACCAGGACCCCAGAAGCACCCAGAGGACACAGTCTAGAGTCAGGACAACAGAGCTGGTCAGGGCGGGGCGCGTGCCCTGGGGCACCGCACCCCAGTTTGAAGGAGGGAGGTCTCCGAGTACTGATACAAAAAGACCTCCAAGACTCACTCAGAAGAAAATCACGAAACAATAATTGCAATAAGATTTCATTTTCATTAAAAATACACTCTCCCAAGCAAAACTTTGAGCTTCTCTGTAAACAAAATAAGTGTGTAAGTCAAAGAAAGGTCTGGAAAGCCTCCTGTTCATGAACAGCAGCAGTGGGCACCTCTGAGGAGGGAGTGGATTGGGTGGGCGTGGTCACAGAAACTTACCCTTTCTCTGTATTATTTGCATTTTCTAATACAAGGGTAAAATAAGTATGGGTCACTTGTATGATATAAAATAATGTATAATGAAAAAAATAATATAGCAACTCTGATCAAAGGTGGACTATTTCCTTTTAAGCTGGTTTTTTTTGGTGTTTTTTTTTTAACAGGCACCTGAGGTACCTGTTAGTATTCTCAGGAAAGCTGAAGAGAGCAGGGTTGGGTCCATGATGCTCTGCTGAGCCCATGCTGTTGTACCCATGATGCTCTGCTGCTGTGCCCATAATGCTCTGCTGTGCCCTCTGTACCTTGCCTTGCCTCTTCCCCTGGTCTCTGCAGTTCTGGCTGTTCCAGGAGGCAAGGCGATTCCACCCCATATAAAGCGGTCCTGGGGTGGCCTACTGACCTGGATTCTCCTCTCAGTATCTTGACTCCAGCCGCCTCCTCTGCCAGACTCCACATGGCCCAGATGATTTCTCCTGCACACGGGAGAAGGAATCAGAGCATCTCACAGTCAGGGTGGAGGCCCCAGGGAAGACACCCATCCGAGGCATGTTTGCGAAGACTGATCCGGTTTCAGCCCATCGTTGTGCAGATGGGGAATCTGAGTCTCAGAGTGGAGATTTATCCAAATGTGAGTTCAGTGCCAGAGTAGGACTCCAGCCTGGCTTCCAATGCAGGGCTTATTTTAGGGAAGGTTCCCAAAATGCCCACATACCATCAGAGCTACTCCTTCATGTTGAGATCTTGAATCTTCAAAATATCCTTCAGAGGAGCTGGTTTTTAGTATAGAAATCAAAGAGCAAGTTACATTTTACTTTATTTACTGCAAAAACAAAATTGTAACAAGTGAAAATACTAAGAGAAGTTATTTCTACCGCCCCAGTCACATTTCATTTGCTCACATCATGGCACTCTAACGCGCACACTTCGCATGTGCGATTATACACAGAGCTGTAGTCGTGCACAAACACTGTATAATCTTGCTTCGCTTAACGTTGAGCATGTTTTCCTGGACATTTGCCATGTAGCTTTCTACCTTCCACAGAGTATTTCATCACACACACCTATATCTTCACTGTTCTTATAAACTACTTCGAATGCACAGAAAAGCAAAAGGAACAATACACTACACAGATTTAGCAAATATGACTATTTACAGATATTTTGGGGAGTTTTTAAACAATGAAACATTGCCGGCACTATTGGAGTGCTCTTCTGTACAATGCACTGTAATTCTCCCAGGACAAACTACATCACTTGCCAGGCCCAGTGGAAAATGAAAATGCAGGGAAGTGTTCAGAAATCATTATGAATTTCAAGACGATGACGGCAGAGCACTTAGCCCAGCACAGGCCCTTCTGAGTGCAGGGCCCATGTGGCTGCACAGGTGTCCCCCCCGCCCCCCGTCCCAAAGGCAGCCCCGGCTCCCCTTGTGCTCTGACTTACCTAGTACTGAGCTGTGTCTCCGTGGCCCCAGCTCTATGCTTTTCCTTGTATGCACATATTGACCAACATTATGGAGTGTTATTTTTTATTTCTAAAAGATTTTATGTATTTATTCTTAGAGAGAGGGGAAGGGAGGGAGAAAGAGGGGGAGAAAAACATCAATTGGTTGCCTCTTGTACATACTCCGATTCGGGACTGGGCCTGCAGTTCAGGTGGGTCAGGGCATTATGGAGTGTTATTTTCTGCATTTAAAAATATTGCCTAAGTGACGTTAATACCGTATGTGTCCTAAGGCTGCTTGCTTATTTCACTTATTCTTTTGTAATTCTCTGTGCAGATGCGTAGATTTTATTGATTTCCACTACTGTCTAGTACTCCAGTGTGTGCCTTCACCACAGTTCGTGTTCTCCAGTACCTTCTACCTTTTTAAAAAACACACAATTAAAAATACTGCAGAGAACACAGTTCTGTGTGTATGTGTGAGCTTTTGTCCGCTGTTTGTAACCAGGTGTTGAACCGAGTTGGTTATTTCCAATTTTTTGGCTTGGCGTCAGGTGCTCTCCTTGTGTGCCTCCCCTTGGGTGACCCAAGTCACCTGAAAATCCCCTTCAGGGGCTTCCCCACAAGTTGCCTCTCCCTCTAAGACCCACCATCCACTGAAGACAGAAATGGGGTGTCCTGACTGTTCCCTTTAATCCCTGTGCCTCACCTCACCTATGACTCAAGCCTGTTGGCTCCCACTCTAAAGACGGCTCTAACCCACCCATTCCTCTACATCTCTCCTCCATTCTTGGTCTTGGCTCAGGGTTCCACCTCTCCCCTGGGCTCTTCTCTTAGCTCCTAACTGGTCCCTCATCCTCTCCATCCCCCCAACTTCCTCCATTGAACTTATTTCACCTTTGCCAATCGCACGTTGACTCATCTCTCCTCTGCACGCTGTGGCCACCAGAGCAAAGGTTGCGTCACTTTTGCACCAGTAGCAGGGCCTGGCATGTAGCAGATTCTAAAAGTATTTACTGAATCAAAGTGTATTGAAATGTAAATATATATCAAAGTATATGGCATGCTATATAGTCTTCCCATCTTTTAAATTAGACTGGTAGGGTAAATTCCCCAAAGGAGCATTATTGATGACTTAGGAGAATGAATGAAAAGTTCAAAGCCCTTCGTAAGTGGGTTTGATCCATACAAAACTCTAGGTCAGGTAGTACAGAGAGGATGATTCTCACCAAGGACCGCTTTTCACAAGGCCCCAAAGCCAATAAGGGAGAGAGTGTAAAGAACAACAGGTACTCTGGTATTCTTGCCATCTGCTTGCCTTATTTGATAGGGACACTAAATTTAGATGTTGCCCTTTAATGCCAGTTTACCGTATCTTTAAGTGTAGCTGTGCTGGTGTACACACACACAACACACACATATAAATAAAATAACCTGATAGAATTTATACCTCCATTGAAAAAACACACACACAACCCACATATCTGGGCCTTTCTCCCCGCCCCGCTGCCCCACCATGTACTGAATGGGCTTAAGGAGGGCTCTGTCTGGGGTATTTTTGCACTGTGGGCAGGTACATGAAGGGGGAAAACCCCACATTTCTATACCTCTCTGCTTCATTATTCTACCTTGTACCTGGACAGTAAAGTCAGCGGCTGACGTGCTCTGCACTGGCCCCAGCACAGGTCTAAAGTCCTATCACTCAATGGAAGGTAGAGACAGCTTTCAGAATTAATAGTACAATACAGGTGCCTTTTTTATTCATCTTGGCTGGAGTCCCTGCCTGCCGGACAGAAGTTGGGAAATTGGTGTGTATCTGGCTCCCTGGCCTGGGTCATAGAATTACAGAGTTGTGGGTGGCTGGCAGGAAACCTCAGCCATTATCGAGACTTCGGTCCTATCTCCCTCATTCATTCAACAAAAATGTACTAAGCAGTTGTGTGAATAGAATGTGGGCAGGGATGGCAGCTGTTGTGTTCACTGATTTATCTGTGGCACCTATCACAGCGGCTGGCACATAGGGGTTCATTAACCATCTGCTGAATGATGGGTAGTTTCCTGTAGCAGAGTCACCTGGGGGAGTTTATTAAATGCAGATTCCTGGGCCCACTGCAGACCGACTAAACTGTAATCTCTAGTGATGGGGCCCGGGCTACTGTCATGTCCTCCAGACTTGGAGAACCACGGCTATCGTGTCCGATCAAAGCATTTTTCTGTTACCAGCAGGGAGAAAGTGCTGATGTTTTTACTTCAAGCGTTTGTCATAGTGAATGTAATAGTCAAGTCGAATAGGTTCGTTTTGCTGAAGCCCTTTCTGCAGAGCCTGGAGGAGTCTGGGCTTGGCCCAGAGTATGCGCAGGGCAAACTTTCACTAATCTCGGGAGAGGCAAGGCCAATAAAAAGGCACAGAAGATAGGAGTTGAGTCACATGAAACCCAGGCTTGGCATTATTATTGTCCTTCACTTGAAAGTCATAAAACTAGAAATATACCACTGTTCCCGGGAGTGGGTAGCTACCATGGGTCCTTTCTCAATGCCTTTCAAGGGACTGTGGCTTGGACCAAGCACAGACCTGGGTTCAAATCTCAATATGTCTCCAGCTCCTTGGTCTTGGAGTAAACACTTTGAAGCTTTAGTTTCCTCAATCATAGAATGGACATCACAATGCCAATTACTCAGGATTGTCAAAAACAACCTGAGATGATGCAAACTCAGGTGTCTGACACATGCCCAGGACAGGAAAACTGCAACATATTTGGCCCAAATATGATCCAACGCCATCATATTTGGGCTGGAAGGCTCAGTAGAGGGTCACTTAGCCCAGCTCTTTCATTTCACAGATAGGGAAACAGACTTGGAGAGGGTCAGCAAATTGCACGAGATTACCTAGCGCTTTAGGGTTTTTGAGAGCTTCTAATCTCACTGAAGAATTTCAAATTCCTCCAAGGACTAGAGGGCGTGATGAGGCTGACACTGTGGGTAGCCTTTTTGAAGGAATTCCTGGGGTAAGAGGCTTTTGAAAAGGAAGCTGGATACCTCAGGTGAGGTGCCTTCTCACCTGAGTTTCTTTCTTATTTATTTATCTTTTAAATATATTTTACTGATTATGCCATTACAGTTGTCCCATTTCCCCCCTTCATTCCCCTCCACCCTGCAAACCCCTTCCCCACATTCCCCCCTTTAGTTTATGTCCATGTGTCACAAGTTCTTTAGATTCTATATTTCCCCTATTATTCTTGCCCTCCCCCTGTCTATTTTCCACCTACCCTCTATGCTACTTATTCTCTGTACCTTCTCCCCCCTTCTCCTCCTCCCACTCCCCTGTTGCTAACTCTCCATATGATCTTCATTTCTATGGTTCCGCTCCTGATCTAGTTGTCCTCTTAGTTTGCTTTTGTTTTAGGTGTGGTTGTTAATAACTGTGAGTTTGCTGTCCTTTCATTGTTCATATTTGTTATCTTCGTTTTCTTAGATAAGTCCCTTTAACATTTCACAAAATAAGGGCTTGGTGGTGATGAACTCCTTGAATTTGACCTTATCTGAGAAGCACTTTATCTGTCCTTCCATTCTAAATGAAAGCTTTGCTGGATAGAGCAATCTTGGATGTAGGTCTTTAGACTTCATGACTTGGAATACCTCTTTCCAGCCCCTTCTTGCCTGTAAGGTCTCTTTTGAAAAATCAGCTGACAGTCTGATGGGAAGTCCTTTGTATATGACTGTCCCTTTATCTCTTGCTGCTTCTAGGATTCTCTCCTTCATTTTAATCTTGGCTAATGTAATGATGATGTGCCTTGGTGTGTTCCTTCTTGGGTTCAACTTCTTTGGGATTCTCTTAGCTTCCTGGACTTCCTGGAAGTCTATTTCCTTTGCCAGATTGGTGAAGTTCTCCTTTATTATTTGTTCAAATAAGTTTTCCACTTGTTGCTGTTCCTCTTCCCCTTCTGGTACCCCTATAATTCAGATGTTGGAACTTTTAAAGATATCCTGGAGGTTCCTAAGCCTCTTCTCATTTTTTTGAATTCTTGTTTTTTCATTATTTTCTGTTTGGTCATTTTTTTCCTTTTTCTGGTCCATTCCCTTGATTTGAGTCCCAGTTTCCTTTCCATCACTATTGGTTCCCTGTGCATTTCCCTTCATTTCATTTAGTTTAGCCTTCATTTGTTCATGTAATTTGTGACTAAAATCAACCAGTTCTATGAGCATCCTGATCACCAGTGTTTTGAACCTGTGCATCTGATAGGTTGGCTATCTCTTGGTTGCATAGAAGTATTGGCTCTGGGGCTTTGAGCTGTTTTTCTTCTTGAGCCATAATGTTTTGTTCTGTTCTCGCCTGTTCCATATGAGGGGGTGGAGCCTTAGGTGTTCACCAGGGCAGGGTAACCCAGTCGCTGGGTTGTGATGCTGCATGTGGGGGCAGGGTCAGAGAGGGGTAATGGCATTTGTTCCATTCTCTCTCTCGGATTTTGATCCCCTTTGCTGCTTCCCACAAGCAAACCAGGGCCTCGTGGTGCCAGATCCCAGGTGTGTGGGCCTGTGAACCCTCCAGAACCCTGTGGGTCTCTCCAACAAACTCTCTGTGAGCCTGGGAGCTTCTCCTGGCACTTCGACCCTGAAAAGTTTTTCCAGTTGGTGCTTTTAGGCTTTATTTCCCGTTGCTGGGGCCCTAGCCTGCGCAGTCTGTCTCACCGCTCACTCCTTCACCTGGTTTATCTGTGTGCGAATGTGTGACCGTGGTCAGCCAGCTGCCTTGTCCCCCACTGGGTCTGCCCGTTGCCACCCCACGCCTGGGATCTGCCAACCGTCACCTACGTGCCTGAGTTGGTCTGGCCAATTTTTTCTGCATGACCCCGCTCCGCCAGCCGCTGACTCCACCACTCTTACCAGTCTGGCTGAATGGTTCGTTGTTGTTGGACTTCTGTATGGTTCAATTTTTGTTACTAAAACTTTGTTGTCTTTAAACTTGGTTGTGCGGGGAGGCACAGTGTTTCCACCTACGCCTCCATCTTGGCTGGAAGTCCCCTTCACCTGAGTTTCTTGCCAGCCAGAAACCCACTCTGAGGACAGAGTGATCAGTGAGAAAGTTCCTGAAACTGAGCAATGCGTGGCTTTTCTATCAACCCCGGAATTTTAAAGACAAAATTTGGGGGAGTGGAGTTGAGGCCTTCCCTGGGAGGCCCCATCTGGTCTGGGAGCTCTGCAAGGTCTCGGCCTGAGATGGTAGACCGTGGGAACTCTCCAAGTCCAGCCTCCGGGCTCTAAGGGGAACAGCCCCAGGCTGGATCTGGTTGAGAGATCCCTGGAAACTGTCCTGCAGAGCTCTGACTCTGCTGCCCTGGGCAGCAGCAGAAAAGCAAGGCTTTCAGAGAGTTCAAGTCCTTCATGCTAATGGTGATGTTGTCGGTGATGGTGACAGTGAGGATGACCATTTCCTCTCTGCCAGGTGCAAGGTCAAGCAATTTATTTTACATGTATTGTTTCATGCAAAACTCTCAAGATTCTTGCAAGGAGGAAACAGAGGCTCAGAGAGGCTAAGTAAGTGACCAAGGACACATAGTGAGCACCAGCAGCCTATAAGTGCTGCAGGAAAGCAACACTGGCCAGTGCCTTCAAGGGATGTGTGTTTTACCACCATCTTCACAGATGAGGAAACAGAGAGTTTTGCATATTTCCTATGACGTCAGGCACTGTGCTAAGCTACATTGTCTCCTCTATCACCACAATCGCCTTATGTAGTAATTCTATGATCCCCATTTGCGTAGGTGAGGAAACTCAGGCCTGAGACTAAATGACTTGTGGGGGTTCAAAACTTGACAGTCTGACTATGTGCTTAACTTTCTGAGCTGCCCAAGACTGGAACAAGGTCTGGCAGGGCTGGCCCAGCATCCAGACCCCTGACTCCCCAGCCAGTGCTCCAAGGGCAGACGTGGACTTTCTGTTCCTTAAAAGTGTGTTGGCCTACAGCCCAAAGAGTGAAACTACACCCTGAGGTTCTGGGAAGCTCAGAACGGAGAAGGAAGCTCTTCTGGTGTTCAAGTCTGAGCAGGTGTATGGGACTCTCCCTATTTCCTTCTCTGGCTGTACAGGGTGGGGCAGCCCTTGCAAGTACAGGTGCGGGGAGAACAGGACAAGCCCAATAAAACAGATCTAAGTCTTCCTGCCTTCATTCCTCTACCCTGGCTGAGCCCTCATCTCCTGCCTGGCCAACAATGGGTCACGATTATCAGAGTTCAAGGTTGGAGTCAGGAAGCCTCAGTTCAGGTTCTGGCTCTGCACCTAATCCATGTACACTTTGACTCTGGGCAGTTTTCTTTTCTATACACTGTGGTGGTGGTGGTAGTGGGGTGGGGGCAGTGGGAATCAAAACCGTCCTAGTTTTTAGGTAACACGGCAAGTGGAAAAGCAGACTCAGGCCCTGTTTTCACAGGTCTTAGAGTCTAGTATGGCAGGATAGGTAGATCAAATTCTCACCGAAACATATATAAGGTGGTATCTGGGAACCAGTGTTTTAAAGGAAGCCTCCCGGAGCTAAGAGAGCTACAGTGGTGGGAGAGGGGGTACAGGGAATGGGTGGACAGTGTGAGGGGCAGTGGGGGAGGATTCCCTGAAGATGTGGTTACCAGGTGAGTCGCTGCTGAGTGTGGAGAGGCCCCTTGCCAGACAGTTCATCCAAGGAGTGCTGAGAAGGCCAGTGGGCCTCGGGCGGCTGGCACCAGCGAGCCTGGCCACGTCGAGGCATTCGGGCCATGTAAGAGACATTATTGTTGTTTTTATTATTTGGAGCACTTAAGGGGAGTGAAAGGAGACTTGAGAGAGAGAGATTGCCAAATTTAACAGAATATGAGTCGACCTATTTTCAAATTAACTCTAAAAATGCCACTGCTTCCGAGGAGCATTCCCTGATTTCTCCACCTTTGAACTATCCCTCCTCTGGTCTTGCAGTCCTGGTAGAGAGACTCCAACCTCGGGCACGGTCAGACCTAGGCTTTGTCTTCCTTCTACTGAAGTGGCTTCAAACGCTGTCTTCTGCCTTCCCAGGCCTCAGTTTCCCCATCAGCGCTGAAGCCGGTTGTCTTGGGAGGACCCGCCCAGTGCTAAGACAACGTGATTCGCTCTGGCAAAAGCTGGGGGCTGCCCGCATTGCTGCGTAGGCATCGTGCTGCAGGTTGAGGCCCCGTCACCCCGCTTCAGGCGCCGTCCTACCAGGCAGGGGCTGTCTGCGAGCATCGCGGCTTTAGACTTGGCTCAGGAAAGTGGGGGCGCGACCCCCTGCTAGCACAGGCACCGCGCGGCCCCGCCCCCGCAGCCAGCGGCCCTGCGGCAGCCAGGGCCTGAGCTCCGCCCTCCGCTTCCCTCGCTCCCCCCTCCCGCCTCCGTCGCCTGCTCTCTGGCTCCCTCCCTCGCGCCGGTTCGGCGCTGACTCCGCCGCACGCTGCAGCCGCGGCTGGAAGATGGCGGGGAACGACTGCGGCGCGCTGCTGGACGAAGAGCTCTCCTCCTTCTTCCTCAACTATCTCGCCGACACGCAGGTACAGCCAGCTGGGGCTGCGGGCCTGGGGCCAGGGGTGCTGAGCTGCGGAGGTTGACGCTGCGGCCGGGGAGGCTGGGATGCAGCGCAGGGCGCATGAGGGGATTGGGGGCTCCAGGCTGCAGAGACCCCTTCCACGAACCCCGCGATGCGCTCTGTTACGGGGGCAGGGAGCTAGAGGATGCCCCGCGCAAGCTGGAACGTCGTGGGCGCTACGGCCTCAGGGGAGGGTCTAGTCTTGGTCTCTTGGAATCCGCACCCCCCCCCCCGCCGGCAGAGCTGGGTGGGGGTACCGCGTTTCCTTGGTGAGGTGGATCCTCGCCAAGGTGTGGGGGACCCTCGGGGTAGCTCTGGGTGCAGAAGGCGCGCCCTCAGGCTCCCGGCACTTGCTGCTGTACTTTCACGTGGACTTGTGGCCCCGGCACAGATGCCTACCCCTGTCCTCAGAGTCCCCTGCTCTTCCAGTCTCCTGCCTCCTGTGACTCCCCATCGGCCCCGTGGCTTCTCATCTGCGCCCGCAGCGTGGAGTTTTCTGCCAGTTGCCCACTTAGGGGTCTGAGGGGCGCGTGGACCTACTGCCGGGGATAGCACCTTCCTGGTTACGCTACCCCGCGGAGCGCCCAGGGGTGAGAGCAAAGCAGGATGGGGGCGGAAGGACTGTCTGGGGGCGCCTGGGTCCCCCTGCGGTGCGCGGTCCCGGCGCGCGCTCGGCGATGCTGGGGGAAGGGAAGGTGAGGCGGCGTCCCGGGATCTAGCAGCGCCTGGGAGCCCCACCGGCGACACGCGCGTGACAGGAGAGGGTGCTCTGGTGTGCCGGGGTTGGGGGGGGGGCGCCAAAGAAACTGGTGACTTGGAGACCCAGGCAGGGGGCGGGGGCTGGTGGGACAAACAGCCACGGAAAATGCCTGAACGAGGTGTATGCGCCCCCCCCCCAACCCTTCCCTAGGTTTCCCCAGCACCGTGCCTGTTAAAAGCACAAAGTTTGGCGCCGTAGTTAGAGCTTTTTCTCCTGGCGCCGGGCTGCAGGAAGTCTGGGGAATGGGGATGCGGTGGAGCAAAGAAGGAGACCCCGGATGCGGGCTCGCGCCTGGGCCAGGAGGGGAGGTGCCCCCGGGTAGGACCGGGCTCGGCTCGCCAGGGCTGGTTTGGTACCTAGAGTTGGAGCGCCGGTGCCAAACTGGCTCGTTTTGCATAACACTGGAAGGGAGGGGGAGGGCGGAGAGGGCGGGGGTAGGAGGGTTGAGAGGGAAACTTTGCTTCTTGTAATCTTCTGTCTTTGGGCGGCCGCAGCTGTCATGGGACCGGGTGGGCGGGGAGAGGTTTGCAAGCTGACTCCAAGCCGTGAGACGCGACTTGGAGAGGACGCTGCAGCCGAGACGTTCAGCTGCGGGCGGACTCCGGGTGGCGACTCCCGGCTGGCGGCTACGAGGGCGCAGCGTGACGGGGTGTCTGGGAAAAGAAGCCCGCCACGCGCGGGAGAAGGCCAGTCCTGATGCGCTGCAGACGTCCCTGCGTCAGGGAGCCGCGGGGGGCCTCGTGGTCGGTGGCGGGCGCGCTCGGAAGGGGCTGGTCAGAAGGGGCTGGTGGTGTGGTCGCACCTCCCAAGGCCAGGGGAGTGTGTGCTGAGTGGGCTGCGTGCACGGGTCTGTGTGATTGTGTGCACACGCCTTGCGCGCCGAGCGCGTACCTTTACCTCTGACGAAACCGCAGTGGAGTTCCCGCGGCGGTCGCGGGGCGCTGTCACACGCCCGGAGAGCAGAGCCCAGATCTGCGGGGACTGCGGATCCTAGCCCCAGCACCACCACGGTCCCCACAGCCCCCCACCCCAGCGGATATCAGGGGGCTAGGAGTACTGGGTGCGGGCCGGACCGAGTTGCCCCTGTGAAAGTTCTGTCCACAGCTGTCGCCCTTGCCTGGAGGGTTTCCAAGCCTCTTCACTAAGTCGAGGGTGAAGAAGGCCTGGAGACTTGTTCAAGGACCCAGAGCAAAGATCTGGTCGTTTTGGACCCGACTCCAGGTTCTGACTCCATCTTCAGTGCTCTTTGGCTAACCCGTAATTAATTATTTGTCCCGTTAGCTGCCCAGAGGGCCTACCAGGAGGGATATTTCATCCAAGGAAACTAGAAAATTGGGTAAATTGGGTATCAGCAGATGCAGTGCAGTGAAAGTTAATCTGGGACGTTTGCTTTTTTTACGTAACCACGTGACTGGCTGAGGCCCTTCTGGTGATCTTTGCCGGCCCAACTTGGGAAATGTAACTGAGAGGGAGGGCTTTGCCTCTGCCCCAGAAGGCTCGCAGAGCCCTTCGGTGAGGGGACTTGGGCCGGCTATCACCTGTCCCCTCATTTTACAGTTGGGGACAGAGGCTGTGAGGGGTGAGAGGCTTGTGAGGGACCATGCAGCCAGCGGGTGACAGAGCCACCCAGGGCTCCTGACTCCAGGTCCTGTGTGTTACCTCGAAATAGCACTGGACTTGGAGTCAGAAGGCCTGAGTGGAGTCGCCTTCCCCACTCTCTGGCTGGGTGACCCTGGAGCAAGCCATTTTAACCCTGGAGCCTCCCTTCCCCCACCTGTTAAATGGGGCTGGCCGTGCCGCCAGACCTCCAGGGCCTGGTGGGAGTGAGCACACTGTGCACTCAGAGGGCTGGTTCCTGCACTTCCTCTTCCTCCCCCAGACCCTCCTTCACCATCCCCTCCTCCCACTGGAAAGGGTGGGGAAAGTGAATAAAAAAGGTAATTTATTGTCTTTATCCAAAAGGCTTAAATTGTCTTTGGTGGCTAATCCAGAGTTAGATAGAGAGAAGATTTATGTTTAAGAGACTTAACTTTTACCCGTTCGGGCCAAAGTTCAGGGATCCAGCTGACCGAAGATTGTGAAAGTTTCTTGGAAAGGTTTGGGACATGTATTCCAAAGGACTGTGGGTTGGCTTCACCTTTGCTCAGGCTGTGCCCCTTGCACGCAGCGCCCTCGTCCACCCGTCCTGCGTGGCCTCTTCCAGCAGGCTTTCCCTGCCTGGCTTGCCCTGCTTCTCTTCCTCTCCCTGCTTCTCTTAGTTTGTGTTATACAACGAGGCACTTTGTGTCTGTGTCCTGTGTCCCAGTAAGAGTCCGGAGCTCGAATTGTGCCTTTCATCTCGTTGTTCCCCCGTGGCACCTGTCACCATGCTGTGTCCCTTCACGCAGCTCTTGGTTAGGCACATTAATTACAGGGCGGGGGGGGGGGGTTCCCAGGCTGGCTGGGGAGACAGCTGGGCAGCAAGTATGGGAAGAGAGGAATGCAGAGGGCTGCAGCTGTGGGCACGCACTAGGGCTCCAAAGGCCACGCCATAAGCCCACGCCAAGTATGGGCTGTTCAAAGTCCCCTGGGACATCGGTCACAGATGGCCGAAATGTCAGAAGTGGCAGGGACTCTGTAAGTCATCTGGTCCAACTCCTTATCATTTGAAAATGTTTCTCTGTAGAATTGTTAGAGAATACTGGCAAGCATAGGGAAAGCAGTTGAAAACATGTAATCTTACCCAAAGGTAACAACCACTGTTCATTTTCATGCGTTTCCATACTTTTCCTGTTCCTATAGTTTCCTCTTGATTATACCTTTGTAGAGAAATGGACTCATTCTTTATATACTAATTGTAATTTAGAATCACGCTGTTGTAACTTGCTTTTTCCCCCCCTTCCCAACAATATACTGTGACTATTTTTCCTCGTTAATAAATATCCTGCTTAACAGTTATATAGTATACAGTATCTCATTGAGGGTTGAAACAAAATGTATTTGATCAGTCCTTTATTTTTAGCCATTTAAGCTGTTTTTATTTTTTTGCTATTGGGAGGTGTGCTGAAAATTAATATCTTTGCATATGTCTTTTTTCCTTTATTTAAATTCCTAGAAGTAAAATTACTCTGTCAATTACACTATGCATGCATTTGGTAAACACATTTCGGGATTGCTCTCTAGAAAGATTGGGCTAATTTACACATTTACCAGCATTGCGTGGGAATACTTGGTACCTCATTCCCAGATAACTCTTGGTATTTTCATTGTTTTTTATTTTTATTAGTCTGCTCATCAATAAATTCTCTGTCACCCTTATTGTTTTAATGTGCATTTTTTATTACTTGTGATGCTGAACCTTTCCCCCATATGCTTTATGGTTCTGTGCTGTAAAATGCTGTGCTTGTAAAAACGTGGACCCTTTTTTAATTGGTGTCCTTTCCCCTCCTTGCTCTAAAACCGGAGCTCCCAGAAGGGGCCCCCACCACCTGGACAAGTGGGAAGATGAGCTGAAGTCCTAGTGTTCACTTGGTCTGGAATATTGCTGCCTCCACAGCCCCAGAAGCTGGACCAATTTCTTTTCCAAGTCAAAGTTCTAGCCATCTGTAGGAGTAAGTTGAAGTGCAGCCTTTGCTGGGTGCCTTTGTGCACGTGTGTGAGAGCAAGGAGAACAACTTCTTCACCTAAGCCCAGAGGGGACATGCTTGCTTTCTCAGAGGCCTGGGCTCCTCTTTCACTGGGGCTCCCTCGCTGGTGCTAATGATCAGGATGCTCGTGAAACCCAGGAAAGGCAGTGGGGCCCCCGGGGTTCATATTTCCCCTCGCCTCAAGGCCATCCTGTCCCCAGCTGATGCAAGCCAGCCAGAAGCTCCCCCATTGCTAGGATGTAAGTCACCCTCTTCTTTCTCTCTGGAATAACAGGATATGGCTTTTGACTCAGAAGCAGCTTTGCAGATAGGGGCTTGGATTTGGAAGTGAGGCCATTAACACGAGCATTGCAGGTAACAGCTGTCACTTCCTTCATCATTATCCTCCTCATCATCAACGTTTGTTGAGCATCCTCTAGAGGCTGTGCACTCTGGTGAACTTCTGTGTGCATTATATGTCACAGTCTCATGAAGCTTCTACAAAGGGTAGGCACTGTTCCCACTAATAGATGAGGATTATAGTTTCGGAGAACTCACGGACCAGCTGAAGACCATCCACCCCACTACGGTCAGTGGGAA